CCCCAAAACCCCAAAACCCCAAAACCCCAAAACCCCTTAAGGTAAAATACATTTTAAAGAAGATAAATATTCGGCTAATAATCAAACTTAACCTATTGAATAAACTAATTTAAGTTTAAGGTAATACAGATTTAATAGTATTTAACAAACATATGGGTAATACATAGACTGAAAGACAATACGCTTTCTTTAGGACCGACTTAGAATCTATTCCAGGACATTCTGCTGAGTTAATGTAAGGAAGATTCTCTCTTATTCTCAATATAGATGTGCATTTAACAAGGATAACCCTGATAGAGAAGTGCCTGATGATTATTAGGGCAGCAAGACAGTTTGGGAGATATATAAAAAGGGTATTAGAAGATTTCCAAACAACAGATTTTTGGGGACTAGAAATTCTTTGATTGAAGGAAGGCCTTATGAGTGGAAAACTTTCAGGGAAGTCTACAATTGTATGGAACAAGCTGCTAGAGGAATAGATTTCCTTGATCTTTCACCTGAATTGACCTACGAGGGCAAAAGCTGGAGATTTTTAGGCATCCATTCAAGAAATAGAGAAGAATGGGCTGTAATGGACTTAGCATGCTTGAGATCAGGAATTACAATTGTTCCCTTCTTTGATAGCCTTGGTAAAGATGCTCTGGCATTCGTAGTAAATCAAACAGAGCTATAGACTATGTGTATAGAATCTAAAAATTTTGAAAACTTAATAAAGTTGCATCAAGAAGGCAAAACTCCATCATTGAAGAACATTGTCATCTTTGAGGGTGTTTCAATTGCCTAGAGATAAATAGCTTAATCTTTAGGAATCAAAATACTATCCTATTAAGATGTCATTTAAACTGGTGATATTCACAAAGAAATCGTTTTAGTAGATCCAACACCAGAGACTATTTATATGTTTTGCTACACATCAGGCACTACTGGTGATGCCAAGGCAGCCATGATTTCCCACAAAAATATAATTTCTTTTATGAATCATATGGAATTTCAATAATAAAATCACTTAAGTTTTGAAGAGACTGATATTCTTCTCTCATATCTGCCATTAGCTCACATATTTGAGCAAGGTTCTTTATTGATCTCACTAGACAAAGGGTATGCTCATGGGTATTACTCAGGTGATCCTTTAAAACTATTTGAAGATATTGCAGTTCTAAAGCCCACTTACTTTTTCTCAGTTCCAAGAGTTTTTACACGAATTTATTAAAGAGTCTTGGATGGAGTGAACTAAAAGGGAGGAATGTCTAAATGGTTGTTTGAAAAAGCTGTCAGAGATAAGATCAATACCTATCTAAAGACTGGCAATTTGAGTCATAAATTCTACGATAAGGTTGTATTCAAAAAGGTAAGAGACATATTTGGAGGAAATGTCAGATAGATGCTCTGTGGTTCAGCTTGTCTAGATCCTCAAGTCATGTTATTCTTTAAAGTTGCGATGGGTTTACCAATTTTTGAGGGATACTCACAGACTGAGACAGTGTTATGTGGAACTATGACCACTCCAGATAATCTTACACCTGGAAATGTTGGCTCTTAGGGTATATGCAATAAGTTTAGATTAAAAGATGTCCCTGAAATGCACTATTATCATACAGACAAACCTCCAAGAGGAGAATTGTAAACTAAAGGAAAGGGTAATATTATTGGATATTATAAAAATGAAGAAAAGACAAAAGAATTACTAACTGAAGATGGATGGTTGAACACTGGGGATGTAGTTGCGATTCTAGAAAACGGAAATGTTCAAATAATAGACAGAGCTAAAAATATCTTTAAACTTTCACAAGGTGAATATATTGCTCCAGAAAAACTTTAAAACATCTATGCACAGTCTGTATTAGTTCAATAAATTTATGTTCATGGTGAATCAAGTAGAGAATACTTAGTTGCCTTAGTTGTACCTGATCTAGATGCAATCAAGAAAATTGCTTAGGCTTAAAGTTTAACATACTAAAGCATAGAAGATTTACTCACTAGTGAAGTAGTAAAAAAAGCTGTAATTGATGAGTTTAATAGAATGGCTAGCAACTTTAGTCTTACAAGCTTAGAAAAGATTAAAAAGGTTCACTTAACTACGACTGTATTCAGTACAGAAAATGATTTAGCAACACCAACAATGAAGGTAAAGAGATTTAATGTGAGAAAATATTTTGAAAAAGAGCTAGAAGAATTGTATAAAGATTGAATTATTCTAAAAAAATTTTTGTTGCTCAGACTATCCAATATTTCAATCTTAATTTCATTATTTAAACTTATAGATTTCTTTTTAATTTGAAATATGGGGTTTTGGGGTTTTGGGGTTTTGGGG